ACAATTCAAGCTACTTAACATCTTCATAACTTCCAAGTTAACATCTACAGTATTCTCTTGTTGCAAATACTTTATTACCTTCCCTAATCCCTCTAAAGCATCTGTTATTGTTATCGGTATACTCAATTCTTTGTGATTTTCAGGTTCTTGAGCCTCTTCACCAGTCACAAATTTGACAATTTCCTCATCTGTCATCTGTTCCTCACTTGCTACTTGATTATCGATTTGAATATACTCCATGACCGACAGAGGATCAGAAACTTGAGGCATTTGAAAAATAAGATTTGCGAGTTCACTCTCAGTTTCAGTATGATCCACGGTAAAATCTACGAATTCGTAATTATTATCATTATTGTCAACAGGAAGTATACCAGCACGTTGCTAGCTATTACGAATTGTAGTCTCAGTTACAGAATTCCAAGCAGCGGCGGAAAATTCAATTGCATTTTGAATAGTAAGAGGGCTAGGCATCGGGTTCTCAGGTGTAAGAGCGTCATAGGCTTCAATTCGATCTTGGCATAGAAGTCTTCGATAATTAGCCTAATATTGAAGCAACCAATTAATAATTGCGAATGAATAAAGATAACAAGTCATAAATACCTTTAAGCTATAAATGATCCCTTGGTCAATCAGTTGTAAGTAAGATGTCGTATTTGGAGGAAGGAAATGAGTTTGAATATTTGAATGAGTATTCAAATTTTCTACGTCATGGCTTTTTGCATTATCTATTAAAAGAAGAATATGTCGGTTTGCTCGGCGCATTTTGGTGTTAAGTCGGTCGAGATAGTGACTAAAAATGGTTCTTTGCATCCATGCCTTATTATTCCAATAATACCAAACTGGAAGTGTATTTTTGTCGATTCCCCGAAGTGCAACCAGCATCTTGAATTTATGAATGAATAATAAAGGTAATTTTTCTCCCGTTGCGCTGCATGTCACCATAATACTAACACGATCCTTTGGCATTTTCTTTCTGGCAACTGGTTTATGAGCGAGAGTTTTGCATGGTTCAAGCTTCCAAAAAAGAGCGGTTTCATCACAATTGAAAATATTTTCCAATGGATATCCACGGAGAACATCTTGTAATTCGGTCCGAAATCGTGGAATATCTTTAATTGGTGCACTTCCTGATTCTCCTCGTTGCTTGTACGTACTAAGATTATTTCGTTTTTTGAATTTGGTGAGCCATCTGTCTGAAGCAGTAAAGTTTTCAACTCCGAGTCTTTCAGCAAACCACTTAGCTTTCTCTTGAACTAAGATTTCTTGGATAGTGAATTCCCGAGCAATAGCTTGATCAACCCAGATTAACATTGCTTCTTCAATTTCTGGATAGTTGCTTTTCCGATCATGCTTGAATTTGGCAGCTGTTGATTCTGCTTCAAGACTTAACCAATATCGAGACCTTTTAAGAATTTTAGAGACAGCTTGTTCACTGATCCCAAAGTCTTTTGCCAGTTCTCGGCCCTTGATCGAAGGAAAGTCCCATTTTTTTTCGCATAGTTGTTTTTTTCTACAAAATTAAAAACTTCAAGCTTTAATAGCTTTTTCGTATTAATTATTATTCTTCACTTAATATAATAATTACTCCCTAAAATTTATCGTTAATATATCATTAATATATCGTTAATATAATAACCCCCCTTTTTCTCTTATTAAAATAATAATTCCCCCTTATTATTAAATACTTTTTTCTAAATATTATCATTAAATTATTACATACTCTGCTCCAGTTAAGGCTGTGCGCTTATTAAAGCTGTCTCCACTATTAGGTTCTGTTGACTCTCTCTCTCTCTCCATTCTTGACGTGGTAAAAAAAAGATCTACCGAAAAAAAATTCTGACATGTAGTACTTTTTGATTCCACTATATCGAACTTTATTCTACAATAGGTATTGTGGACTACACAATAAAATATACACTATAAAGAACGGCATTGCTATATACTAATTTGTAGATTTCTCTACTCTAAATTTATCGAATAGTTTAAATATAAAATATACTATAGAGAACTAATTTAATTAGATAAAAAAAAAATCTTAAATTTTCTTCACAATAGACGAAATCCACTATAACGAGGCTACACTATAAGGAGAGTCACTGTGTACTTTGTTTAAAAAAATTTTTGAATAAAATAAATTAATTTATAAATTTAAATTAAATAAATATAACTTTATTTTAATATATTATTAATAATCTAGTATTTTCAAAATTAATATTAATTTTATTTAAATTAATTCAATTATATGTATAATTTTAATTAAAAAAACTATAATAATTAATATATTTATTGATGATTGCAAATCTAATTATTTTTAATTTTTTGAATACATATGCTATATAAATCTAAAGTCATTAAATATTTATATTTATAAAATGTATAGACTTCTTTACTAAGAAGTAAATACAAAATTTAATTTGTGAATATAATAGAATAGATCTTTTCTAAGCATATTTATGAATTAAATTTTGTATTTACTTCTTAGTAAAAAAAACTTATATATTTTATAATATATAAATATTTGATAATTTTAAATTTTATGTATTATATATATTAAAGTTTTATAAAATGTAATCAAAATAATAATACTATTTAAATATATTTTTTATTTGTTATAAAATTATTTAACTAAAAATTTTATATTAAAAATTATATAAATTAATTAATAAGTAAAATATAATAAGTAAAAACTAAAAATTTATATATATTATATAATTATTAGAGAGAGAAATCTCAAAAATCTCATCTTTTATATAATCAAAAATAATTAATCAATTAAATATAATTAGCCAATTAAATATAATAAAAAACTTATCTAAAAAAAGAAAAAGAAACTTTCTCTATAAATTAATACTATATAATATATATCATTTCTTATTGTTTTAGCATTTTATTTATATTTAAATTTGAATTAACATAAAAAATACTTTATATTTTAATTTTTTGAGAATATATTAGTTTACTTAGAAATATATCAAAAAATTTTTTCAATTAAAAAAATTTTCTTTTACAAAAAACTACAAGTTATTACTTTTGTTATTAAAACAATTATCAAACATCAAATTAAATACCATTTCAATATCAATTATTCACAAACTAATGAATTAGTTAAAAACTAAAACTTTGTATGAAGTAATTGCAAAGTTTGTTAATTGTTTTCAATACTATTTGCTTATAAAAGTGATAAAATTTACTCCATTTCATGGATGACAAGCAATTATTATTATAGTATTGAAAAATCAAATCAATAATTATGCTATATAATAGTAAGTATTATCACAAGTGTAAAATAGTAATTTGTTAATAATATATAGTGTATTGGTTTGAATATGTAATTTTGATTAATTAAAGATATAATTTTTGACCTATTGAATAATAGAAAAATTTACATTACCCGATATTAACATTCACTTTAAATACACAAAACTTCAGATATCGTCATTGACTAGCTTACCCAGTACCAAAGAATCATAATCAATCTTTTTCAAGTTTTATTAACTTTAATCCTTCCATCTTCTCTCCCCCCCCCCCCTTTCTCAACATCACTCTGAGACTACGCCAACCCTTTAATGTATAAACCTTTTCCATAAATAACATTTATTAAAATTATATTAATTATCCTGCTCTGAGATGCCTTTTGCTTTTCGCCATGTTTTCTTTAGAATTTTAAGTCCGTCAACATGTTCTAAAGTGAACCCTTTTCTTTTCACCCAATCACGATCTACAGTCACTATTACGCACAAGTCATGATTTTTCCATCTACCAAGATCACGAGCCCACTAAAAAAATATTCCGGATAATGGGCAAAAATATTAATTAAAAATATTGTTCTTAAGTAAATTAAAATCAATAGATGCATCGAGAGTAAAATAATATAAATATTTGAATAATTGAAAAAATATATATACCCAAAGATCGAACCCGCCCGAACCCCTAAATTCAAAGAAAAAATAGAAAGTGAGCAAAATTTGTTGGAATTTCTATGAACATGTGATTGACAATTAAAAATTAATGGACCGGACTTTTTCATATTTTTGCCCCACATCTGGATCGTTTCAATCTTTCACATTCTCCTATATACTCACCACTTTTGATATGCCATATCTGAAATTCTCGCTTCTCGATCTGTCTGGACATTACGAATACTAGTCATTGAGATAGCTTTATCCTTCGCATCCGGCATATAATAATTCAATATGTACAAATAAGTAGCCGATATAGCCACAAATTTATCCTGATACAAAATCGGTTCGTCGTCTCTCGCTCGAAATCTTTTTTTTTTACTTCCGGGCGTATTTCCCCACTCGTCTGTGTCTGGAGGAATGTCGGGGTCTATTTGCGGTTCTAGCGTGTATGAAGAGTTAAGAGTCGTTTCAGTTTCATTTTGAGTTTCAATTTTTGGGTCAGTTAGAGTGGTTTCATCAGTTGTAGTGGTTATTTCTTCAGTTGTAGTGGTTATTTCTTCAACTTTAGAATGGTTTGAGTCTCCATTACCACTACCTGCTGTGTTGTTGTTGTTATCACCCGAGCCATTTTGAGAGTTTGATGTTTGTTTTCTCTTCGATTGGTTTCTGGGATTTGTTGCTGTGTTGGTAGTGGCGGTTGTGGTTGAGGGATTCGGGAGTGCGGGATTAATAGTGTGTATTGGAGTGTCGGGCGGGGAGGAAGTATCAATTGAACGGTCAGAACCGTTAGAGTTTGAGCGCCTAAAACCAAAAGGCATTAATACTTATTGTCCTTGAGATGTAAAATACTGAGAATTTTCAAAATATTTGTCGAATAACAATTATTTTAACAAATTAATTTAGAATTCAAACGCGCATTGTCCAATCGTTACACTATAGATGGTTCTTTTAGGTAAACTAATTTAATATCGATATTCCACATTTACGTCATTTAATCCATAATATTCTAGAGTAGTTATTATTTGAAATAACCTTATGGCGCTCTTCCTGAACCGAATCTCCACTGCAAACGGCACACGCCTTCGACAGTTGTGAATCGACCACCCAGCATGTTTGTTGTTAGTTCCAGCCAAAATTAGTATTTTATCTACAATTATTCTTAAGATCATCAGGTTTAACTATTAAAAAAATATCATCGGTAAGATCCAATTGTATTTTGAATGAAATTCCATTATTATTTTCAACATTGGAGAGAAGCCCTGCTACATAATCACTAAGAGCTTGTGGCGAAATTGATTCCAAAATAGTTTCTGTATTATTATTATCCAATTTTTTGTTTGTAGCTCTCTTTTCAGCTCTAGAGGTAAGGCAATTTATACATGTTTTGTAAGATTTTCCTTTGAATATGAAAGATTCAGATGGATAATAATGAGCACAAGCACTACATTTATTCATTTTGTAGAAGTTATGTGAGCAGTATTAGCGGATAGCAAAATCAAAGAATTATTTACTAAGATAATTTGGAACTTTACGAGACATAACGGTTTGGACAAGTAAAACTTAATACTAGGAATTACTCAAGGGGTTTTTTTTATTTAGGGTAAGAATGCATTCTTATATACATGATTTGATTATATGAAAAAACTGGTCTTTAATCTAAGCATTTTTTTTTATAATAGATTAGGCTTCGAATAATAAGATTTTTCATTTTTTTTCTTAAATTGTATAGTCGACATCATTCCCTCCATTCAATTCCAACGAAATATATAATATTCCTTATAATGCAATAATTCTACTTTTAATGGGGTTTTGGTAAATCTTGGTGAGTTTCTCGCTTCTAAATTGGACTTCAAATAATAAGATTTTTCATTTTTTCCTTAAATCGTAATCTAACTTTATCATCTCATTTATTCAACCAAATCGAAACATACATATGTCCTATAATGCAATCATTCTACTTTTGATGGGGCTTTGGTATGGTCTTGGTGAGTTTCTCGCTTCTATTTCCCTCTTTTTTACGATAAATTAGGTTTTGAATAATAATATAATTTTCATTCTCTTCCTTAAATCATATAGTTTATCATTTTCTCCATTTAACCCAAATGAAACATATGATATAATGCAATCATTCCGCTTTCGGTGGGGGTTCTTGATCAGTTTTTCGCTTCTATTTGACTAGAACAATTATTGGTTCTGAGGCTCATACCGCTATACAAAATCCTAAATACAAGTATAGTTAGTGGATTAACACGAAACCTTCCTTATCTGGATTTGAATTGCAATTGTGACCAAATATATAACTAGTCAAGAAACCAACCTGACTTTTTACATGAATTGTTATGGCTTCGAAATAACTAAGATGATAGTTAACAATATAATTAATACACATGAAAAATTAAAAAATGATTGCGCAATACTACCTTCAAATTGTAACGATAAAATGATTTTTATTTAAATGAATATTTTGATCAAAGTTTAATAATTTAAAAATTCTTCGAACATAGAGAAATAATCTGCTTTTTCTTTTAAAGATGCAATCTTCGATTTATCAAAAATGACCATTAGCAAGCAGTTGAACAAAATAACTAAGAATAGATATGATGAAAGTTAAAAATATTATTGTGCTCGTTTTTTAATAATTAAAAAATCTTTAATAAAATACCTGAGCTACTAAATTATTCCCCAAGGTTTACTCAAGTTTTTACAACTGAAATCTCTTTTAATTATCTAACATACGCGTTTGGATCAAAATAGTTAATAATCTATAAATCGTGACAATTCATTGATGCAGAGCTTTATCAACAATGTGAGACCAAGGTAGCTGCGTTGGAGTATTTAGCAAAACATCTTAGAGAGGAATTGTCTGTCAATAATATACGGCATGTAAAAAATGTGGTTGAAAATATGGATCGAGCATTTACTATAATTAATGACATCAAATCATCACAGCTCAATCTAAGGCGTGATAAAACCCGGAATGCGAAGCCGTGGACTATGTTTTTATAAAAATAGTTGGCGTTTAGGTCTTTTAATTGCTGCTCTAATTGTTCCTTTAACGTGAGTTTTTTTTAAGTTTTTATATGTAATGTAATGTAAATCATTATTTCATGTGACAATGTAACAATTCGTGATTTTCATGTGATAATCACGCGATCTAAATCACGTGATTTGGAAAAATATCCGATTAATATTAGGGCAAGATTGTATATAAAATTGGCTTTTCGATATTTTTTGATAATGTGTCTTGTATCGGATTTGTTTTGTCAGGTTAATCAAAAATTTGCTACATTCTTATTGGTTGCGCAGAATTTCTATGCGTTCTTATTGGTTGGATTTGTTTGTTATCACGTGATCCGACACTTGTTTTGCCATGGCTAGGATATCTCTGATCCTGTTTGATTCTTACTTTTATAAAGCTTTTTGAAATCTTTCAAACTTTAATTTTTTCACATATAATTTTTCCTTAGATAGTTGATATCTTGATTAGTGTTCCTATGAACTGAACCGAACCGAACCGGACTTTGGCTTGAGTTCAAGAAAGATTTGAAGTTCGAACTGAACTCGAATCAAATCATTATATGAGTTTGAGTCTGGTTCGAGTTCGATTAAAGATCAGTATATAGTATCATATACTGATTTGTAGCTCTAAATATAAGCTACAACTTTACTTATAAGCACAATTTATGGTATTTAGTAAGAATTAAAAGTTTACATAGTGATAACTAAAGTGTTTTTATTTTTACGTTTATTAAATTTGATTGTAAATACTATATAACTCTCTGAATAATTATTATTAATGATAACTATCTTATATCAATTTGTAGCTCTTATTTCTGGCTATAACTTTACTTATAACTATAGTTTATAATTATTATAGCAAAATTAATATTTATTATACTAAAACTTAAGTAGATTAAAATCGTAATAATTAAATTATTTTTTTAAATTCATATAACTTCTTAAATATTCATCCTAAATATTAACTATTTTATAACAATTTGTAACTTATATTATAATTTATAACTTTATTTAGAACATCAATAAACATTTACTTGAACTCAAACTGAACTTTTGTCAAGTTTGAGTCTGGTTCAAAATTCAAACTGAACTCAAACTAGACTTTTAATTAGATTCAAATTTTTTTGAACTGGATTTTTCATCAGATTTGAGTTTGATTCAAGCTCAAACTGAACCAGATTCGAATTGAACCAGACTTTTTTTCAGAACTCTAGCTTATATATCATCAATCAATTTGGCACTTTGAATAATTCTGGTTGACATATTTGGATAGTTAATATATTTTAGTTCTCTTTTATGAATCTTGACTAGAGTTCAAATTTCTTCAAGTATTATATTTATGTTTTCATCAAATTGTACTCAAAGTCTGCATGATTGAATTACTATTTAATCATCATGGTTAAGTATCAAAAAATTTTAACTTTTTAGGTATTGTTCTTCGAATTCTTCTTTATTAGTTATTGATTTATCAGGTTTATCATATTCTTGTCTATAGATGAATTTAATTTTTACATTTTCTTTTTGATTATTCCAATCAAAAAACATGATTTCATTATGTAGGTCTAGTTTGGCTTTAATTTTATTTAGCCAACTACTAAACTATAAGTATAAGTTTCAGTGATATTAATGTTAGCAGAAATTATAATTTCAGCAATAGTAATTAGAAAGTTATCAATTACATCAATAAATTGTTTAAATTTATCATTTATATCTAATATAATAATATTAGATTTTTGTTGAATTTTAATATCATATTTCTTTAAAAAATTATTACTAGTAATACAACTAAAGGAATCAGTATTAATAATTAAATTAATGGATACAGTTTCAAATAGAGATGGCGCAGCAAGTATGTGATACTTATTTGTTATCTATTACAACATGTTGCAACTCCAAAATTTTATAAGTCACAATTAATTGTAACTAGATGATGCTTTATTTGTCACTATGTTGTAATAATTGTTGCACTATTTTTAATTTCAATTTTAGTTTCATGCCAGGCAAAAGTAGTTCTAATCTTTTATTCAATTATTCCAGTAACTTTTCTGGTGATCTTTCTTTTTGGTCTAAAAGGTTGTCTTATAGCTTTAGATATTTTAAGACATTGTTTTAAAGAGATTTGAATTAGTTGTCTAATTGTAATATTGGCTTTACTAGTTGTCAAGTCATCTAGAATATCATATGAAACAAATTTGACAGCAAGAACAAATAGTATAGTCTTGTCTTTCTTTCTTTTATTGATGTAATAATTTGTACAGTAGGTATAGGTTATTTGACTTGAATTATTAATAACAAAATATTTGATATTACTGGATTACTTAGTTCAGCTATAACTGTATCTTCTTCTTCAACTGTATCTAATTTATCTAATTTGGTTCTCTTTTGATCTCCAGCTAAATAATCGTAAATGACAAGTAGAGTCAAGTTGGTGAAATTCAAGATTTCAGTTTGTTGAGAAAGATTAAGTATTTGAAGAGCAGCTAATAATAGTTAAATTTGTGATAAAAGATTGATTTAGTTATCATTATTATTATTTGTTAGTGCTGATTAATTAGAAGTAGTATTTGTTCTAACAAAATTATTACTATTATTATTAGATCAATTATTTTGATTGCTTTAAGACTGTGAATTTCTATTAGAATTCTGATGATAAGTGCTCTGATTATATAGTTTATCACAATTTCTGAATAGGTATCCAATTTTATTGCAGTTGTAACAAGTTGGAATAGAATAGTTATTATAATAATAATAATTTTGTTTATTATTTCTGGATGAATAGATTGATCTTTTAGACATTTCAAAAGTTTCTAACTTACTGATCAAATTCTGGAGTATTATTATAAATTGGTTGAGATTAGCAGTTAGTTTGATTTTTGTCTGATGATAAATTGAAGCAAATTCTTTGAAATTTGCTACTTTCACAGTTTTAGCCATGTAAATAATATTTGATAGAGTTTTATCAGAATTTATTTTTACACATTTATAAATTTTAAGTTTTAGATCTCTTTTGTATATTCAAGTTTTGTAATCTTTTAAATAGACATTGGTTAGGTCAACTTTCTTTAGAAGGATATTAAATCAGTTGGTATATTCATCAATACTTCTATTTTATTGAAGTGTTTTAAATTTATTTTGCCATTGTTCAACCTTACAAGGAGTACAAAATTTCAAGACAAAACAATATTTAAAATTATATTTATCATTTTCAAGATTTGTTCAATTAATTAGAGTAAGAGCATTATTAGTAGCTCTTTAATTAAATCAGATAATAGCTATACCTGTATTTATAAATAATTTGAATTTTTTGTGTATTAGTAACTTTATTGACTATAATAGCAACTTCAAAATTCTGGAGTCATTCAACTAGATCTTGATTATTATCTATGAATTTCTGAATTGGTATGTGATTTTTTTGTGCTCTTAATTCAATAGTAAGA